ATTGAGCGCTTCTTTTGAGCGCGTCTTGTTTGAAGTTTTTGAACCCAAAGCTAACGATGAATGGCACAGCAACGGCCGGTGCTGTCAAACTTTTTGTTTGTTATCCTCTCATGTGCGGTCGCGCGCGCGCCGCCAGCAATAGGCCACGTAGTACGTGGTTACGTAGGCAGGTTACAGGTAACGGAGGGAGGGGGATAACAGCGAGCTCATCAGACGTTTCCTAAAAATAAACATTGTTCACGAGTCCCGCAGCTCGAGTCCGAGTCGAGTCTGAAGTCTTTCGAGGACGAGTCTCAAGTCGAGTCTGAAGTCACTGTGTGTGGGACTTAAGTCGCACTCGAGTCCGAGTCTCAAACTCGAGTCCCCATCTCTGGTTGTAGCCCATCCGCCTCAAGGTTGTGCGTGTTGTGGCTTCACAAATGCTTTGCTGCATACCTCGGTTGTAACGAGTGGTTATTTCAGTCACTGTTGCCCTTCTATCAGCTCGAACCAGTCTGGCCATTCTCCTCTGACCTCTGGCATCAACTAGGCATTTCCGCCCACAGAACTGCCGCTCACTGGATGTTTTTTCTTTTTCGGACCATTCTCTGTAAACCCTAGAGATGGTTGTGCGTGAAAATCCCAGTAGATTAGCAGTTTCTGAAATACTCAGACCAGCCCTTCTGGCACCGACAATCATGCCACGTTCAAAGTCACTCAAATCACCTTTCTTCCCCATACTGATGCTCGGTTTGAACTGCAGGAGATTGTCTTGACCATGTCTACATGCCTAAATGCACTGAGTTGCCACCATGTGATTGGCTGCTTAGAAATTAAGTGTTAACGAGCAGTTGGACAGGTGTACCTAATAAAGTGGCCGGTGAGTGTATATGACACATACACACACACACCGCAGTCAGTTACTCAGTCACTCAACATTTGCGTCTTGTTTTGCGCAGATTCAGTTTAGCACTTGTGTGATAGTTGTGTTTAACTGAAATTGTACAGATCATACAGTGATTTACAAAAAATAAAAAATAAAAATGAGTGTGGATTGAATTGATTTCTTAAACCTCTGTGCATAACTGTATGCCTATCCCTTTCCAGAGGGTGGAGGGCCTGTTTTCTGTACCAGTTAATTTTCCTGTAGCTTTGTTTGGCTCAGAGGCAGGTTTGAACTGGAAATGGATGGATTAGCCCATACACAAAATAAATATATTGAAATATATTTTATATTTTTCGCTGTCAAAAATATATGTGACATATATTCCAAATACATTGAAATATATTTGCATTGTTGTTCACTTGTATTTATCATTTTGAAATATATTCTCAAATATAACAAAAATATATGATGTTAAGTGTGCGATATATTTACATTTATAACGTAATGTAAAATACATGACAAAATATATGGTCATAAAATGTTTAGCTTGCTAAAGAAGGGTCGAAAATGTATTTTGATCATAGTAATTCCTCTATCTTTTCCCCTATACACAACAGTAGGCTACCATATTACACTACTGTATTATGACACACAGCTATAATAAATACTGTACTTACATTTAAATGACTGCAATGTAAAATGACAGATTGTTGCTTTCCTATGACTATTAGGCCATATTAGTTGGCACGTACCTAACACTACGTGCAATTATTAGATTTATTGTTGATTTATTGACATCTTTCCTGAAGTCATTTAAATATTGAAAATATGCACAATATTTATGATGCAAGTATAACAGTGACACTCCAACAGTGAAGTACACTTAAACAATAGATAGAACTCAGTGTCTAACACTGCACACACACTATTAAATAACTGTATTCAATTCTGTAAAAATAATTCAAATAATAGTATTTCATATACAATATATACATTTTTTGTACATTTATATACAATACATACATTTACAATGTTGTTAGTAAATATATTGACATACTGTATTCACATATTTAACTAAAATATATTTATTGGGCCAATTTCAAATATACAATACATCTAAAATCCCAAAAGGGAGCAAAAGGGAGCAAATGTCCATAGACCCCCATGTTAAAATGTCCGTTTTCACAGCATAAATTCAAGTTTTTACAGGTTGGTCCCATGGACTTTTATTTGTATTTTTCGATAGGTTCCGAGTGCCTGACAACTGTGAGGGGGGTGAATTTTTTTTCTAATTCGTTAGTTTAGATCGTATTTAGATATAAAATGTATGACAGCGCGTGGTTAACTTTGATTGACAGCTGATAACGGGCTGAGCCAAGTGAAATTTGACGTCTCGGCCATGATCTGACACAACACACATCATACCACCTCTGTATCCTTTCTGAACATTTGTATTGAAATATCGTAAGATTTTCCAAGATGGCACCGCCCATACCCCCCATAAACGGCCTCAAAACTGTTCTTCAGAAAGTGGGTGACGTCACAGACGCTTTGTCCATATTTTTTACAGTCTATGCATAGGACGGACAAGCACACCGTTGAAACTACGTCATCTGGAGGTAACTAGAAAGAGATCCCACACATGATGTACTTTTGTTTTTCTTTACTCTCAGCCTCACTGTGTCTGTGTCAAAAGAAATAACAGACACGATCACACTTAAGCAAAAGTAATTGGCATTTCTGGTCTAGCCGTGCCTGTCAATCAACACACGATATCTCAATGTAAATTCATATACAGAAAATACATTTGAACATTGCATGGATCCTTCAAAATAAATAAATACAACTTTACACAATTACAAATGTATAACTCATATTAAATTCAACTGTAATGTTTTAACGAAAAATATATCGTTCTAAACTCACAAGCATACCGCAAGTGCAACTGCGGCCATTAATCAAATTCGTACTTCGATCAAACATACTCTTATAACATTTATAACCCAGATTGTTGATCTCTCAGTACAGAAAAGACAACAAATAAACTCATTACATACAGAAAATCCCTATACAACATTCAAGCACATTTACACACTTCTCTGAGGAGCAGATAAAAACCTCTCAGGAGCCTTACTCAACACACATCTCTTACACTGCATCACGTACAGTTTAGTGTAAGAAAGTATTTTTTTTTTTTCTACTATGGAAGTCAATGGTGCCCCACAACTGTTCCAATCGTTCTTCAAAATATCTTCCTTTGTGTTCAGCAGAAGAAAGAAACTCATACAGGTTTGAAACAACTTGAGGGTGAGTAAATGATGAGAGAATTTTCATTTTTGGGTGGACCATCCCTTTAACTTCATAAATCCGTATTTGCATCCTTAACTCTGACCTAATCTTACCAACACATGGCTGCTATTAAGAACAACTGTCCTGTTGTTGTTTTTCTTGACTGACTCCTTCCATTCGATTTTTTTATTTTTAAAGTTGCATCTCTTCGCTGCAACTTTCTCTTTATATGGCTGCAGTTGTTTGCAAAGTGGGCAAGTCTTGTATGCAACACTAATAAGGGTGTTGCACCCTGGGCACATTTTCTGTGAACTTCCTGGCATCTCTAAAATAAAGAAAAAATTGACATTAAAACCTTAATACAACTTGTTTTTGTAAGATTGTTTTTGTAAGATCCAGTAACAAGAGGCACAATAACGTTACAATTGTTTTAAAACTAGGTTGTTACTATAAAGGCGGGTAGTACTACTGGCTAGCCTAGCCACTAGGGTTGCCAACTGTCACGTATTAGCCGGGACATCCCGTATATTGGGCCTAATTGATTTGTCCCGTACGCGACGTCCTTTGTCCCGTTTATTGAATTGCTATGCTGATTTAACCACTGACTGATAGACTGATGGTCTCCACAGCAAAGGATGCTTGGGATCACAGGTAATACTTTTTTTTAAGTAAAAAAAAAAAAAAGAATGACAATTTAAAATGAGAAAAAAACAATGCTCCCGAGTGGCAGAAAGAAAAACGTGGTGCAGAAACAAAACATTAGATTGAAAGTCGTGCTGAGTGACACGAAAAAAAGGGGAAATTTGTGTTCACGAACACGAATCAATAGATTATATTTCATTACTATGCCACGAACTGCAGTGAGAATAAACAATGTCACTCTTTAGCGACCCCAGTGGACATTTGTGTTTCAAAACTGAAGCAATACGTACCGGGTGGTACATATTTGTGGCGCTGCAAAAAAGTGTGCAGAGGTACGTATTTCCTATGAGACCAGGTTGATAAATCAAGGCCATCTAGCTGATCTAGGCCATCTATCGTATCGTTGTTATGTTCAGTAACTTGTGCTTTTATGACATAATGGATTTCCTCAAAGTGACGCTCCTAAACATGATGCGGAACAAAAGGAACTGTGATTGGTTGCGTTATGTCAGTCAAACGTCCTCTTGGGTGGACAAATGACCCATTTACTCAAAAACTATATGCTGATAAATGGGTAATTTTCACTGTCACTGTTGTGTGTTCTGTACGAAGTATTGGAGTCTATGTGTTCGGTTGGGTGCCTCGTTATATTGTGTAGATATGTAGTCTTACATAGTGTAACACAAAATCTACTGTGTTTTTTTTTACTTACATGTTTTAAAGTAAACCATGCACTTCAAACGCATGGCTTGTTTCAGTGAGTCAAATGTACTTGAAACATTTAATTTTGCATTTAACAGTATTGCAAAGTAAACTTCAAATGAGTAAGTAGAAATTACTCCACAAACTCTAACTGGCCTAGTTACTTATGCTCTTTATTAATTTGACCTAACTTAGTTAATTTCATACATGTGACATTTACTTAAAAATATGAGCGCAAAAACTTGCAAAATAAAAATTAAGTAGAATTTTTTTCAGTGAAGAACTAGACCTTGAACTCTGGTACACTCGCACGCAAACAGGAACTCAAGACACACACATTTGACCTCTCTAAATTGTTGCTATAAATCTATAACTAATACGCCAGAAATTGTAAAGTTTGATCTGTGCCCAGGACACACGGATGTTTTTGCCGGATATTATGTGTATAAATATGATCCATCTTCTTCATTCAATAGATATGACAGTGTTATGGTGTTACACAGGCTCTAGCTCTTCACAAAACCTTCCTCTGAGATTCTGAAGGCAACAATTTGAAAACCAAAGTGAGTTCTGAATAAATGTTCTACCTGAAGTAATTTTGTGCTTTGTGTTTAAATGCATTAAGGATCGCAGTGTTCAGCATATGAGTGCATGCAGACATTTAACTTTTCCTGCTTATTAATTTCAGGTTCATCATGGCAATGCTGAAAAGTTGTCTGCTTCTTTTCATTATCTTCTCCATGGGGAATACAGAAGGTAACCAAGACATGTATTTGTAAAAAACCTTGCTATTTAAAAACATTTTGTAAATATACAATATTCCATTGACTAATATTTGTATGATTAATAAGGGGTTTACCGTGTAGAAAGTACACATATTTTCAGCACATAATCACAAAAACATAAAATACACTACATAAATAAAAATTAAAACATTATTTGCAGTGAATGTTACAAGAAATGTTAATAGACTGGATGCAGTTGTTTTAGACAGAAGATGCCCCGCTACATGGATAAAACTTGGACTCCGATGCTTCAAGTACTTTTCTCATCCGACTAACTGGATCACAGCAGAGGTAATGTGTTACAACAAGATGATTTGATCACACTTTATATTAGGTGTCTTTAACTACATCTAAAAGACAGATGTAAAGACATGTATGTAGGCTACACAATAAGTGCATTGTCAAATTAATCATTTAAACTGATAAAAAATGATTCTGTGATGATGTAAATGCAACAGTAAAAAAACAAACAAAGTTCAGGCAATAAAAAAAAAAGTAAATTATATATTAGTACTCAATTCAAGCGTGAAGAAATGTTAAATGTCAAACTAATTTTAAGTCCAATAGTAAGTAGATTTTACTTGATAATTACAGGCAAGTTGTACAGAGCAGTAGTAGTACAATTTTAATGTTAAAATATGTTAGTGCAAATTGTTACGAGGATTTTATCAAGTAAATCCTACAAGTCATTTGTTTCAGTGATAGTTAAAGACACTTACTATAAAGTGGGAATGTTATTTTGTATAGTATTTTTTTTTTTCTGCAAATAAATATATCTCAATAAATCTGTCTCTTTAGAGAAACTGTCACAGTCATGGTGCGAATCTCGCATCTGTGCGTAATAAACTGGAACATGTATTCATGCTGAGTCTGTTGCCTTCTCCTTCCACACGTACTTGGATTGGTGCTCATGATGCTGTAGAAGTGAGTTCAATTGTGTCGAGACCTATTCGTTTGTCTAAACTACAATTTCTGCTTTAAAGGCAAGACAATAAAGACAAAGTTTCTAATAAAGATGGTTTGACTTCAAATCTGAACTTAATTGGCTTCTTCCTGAAGTCTGACAACAGTAGTGCACTCTTTTATTCACTCTCTTCCCTCTTTAGGATGGACATTGGTTGTGGAGTGATGGATCTGTGTTTTTGTATTCCCACTGGTGCTCTGGAGAACCTAACAATTACAAGCGTGCCGAGAACTGTTTGGAGATCAACTATTCCTGTAAGAATACAGTCTGATTTTTTTAATACTTTCAATTATAATTTACAATCTAAAATTTCACATCATACAGTAACATGAAATGACTCAATTTGTATTTCACAAAGTACCTTAAGTTAAATATTCCATCTTATTTTGATTCTAACAACACTATAATGATCAGAATAACTTATTTCATTATTCCACCTTACAGCTAACCGTTGCTGGAACGATGAGCACTGTTCAACCTCAATGTCCTATATCTGTGCTAAGGACCTGTGAGACCGTCATCCTGCTCCGTTACGTTGATTCAACTACATTTACTACATTTTTCCGATATTATCTTTTCAAAAATGTTACTCTGAAATCAAATCTCTTCTTAACTTTATTCTCTTTTCAATGTCTTCTCTGAAACACTCCTCAAATTAATAAAAGCATTGAAAAAGCAAATTGTGCATTGTGGACAATCAAATTTGAGCATTTAAAAATATAATATTGTGTTGCAAGGTTTGAGGATATGTTATTAGAATGGCATTAAATTATGTCATCATCAGGGGCGGGGTTTAAACTGCACTCAATCTTCATATTTCATGTTTGTTTTCTGGATTATAAGCAAATATGGAACTCATCCAGGGCCTGTTTTCTGTCTTATAAAATATCCCAATATTTCGGTGTGAGAAACCTCTGCAAACAAATCAGGGATTGAGTGAACTGTTTGAACGAATCAAACTGAATCACACACAATTTCAGACCATTTTCTAAACCGGTTTAATTTAGATGAATAGTGATTCAGTCACTAGTCTGGCATTGCTAGTTCTGATTCTAAACCGCTGATAGAAAACAAGGACATGAGCAGAAAAAAAATATTCTCAGGTCGAAAGTAATCTCCCATATCAGAGAAGCAATATTTATCAGCAATATTTTACTGGGGCACAGATTGTGTTTCAAAAAGGGTCTAGTTGCTGTCATATAGCAACAGGTCCATAAACTCAAACCTGTTGTGGAGCAGCTTCATTATTTCAAGGAAACAGGATTAGATTGCATCTTTTTTAAGTGGAGGTGTCCTAGAGAGTAGACTACTCTATTGCACTGGTCGGGGGACAGTAATAATTTAATTAATTTAACAAAAAATATTTTCAAACACATTTTATTGTCATTTGTATTTTTTTTTAAATTATTTATTTTATTTTTAAATGATTTATTATGATATATGTAATTAAACTAGTTAACTCTCTGCAGTTATACCTGATGAAAATGGCTTTGTTAATGTTTATTGTCTCGTTACATTGACAGTTACGAATTGCAATGAATTACGTAAATTATAGCCTATATTTTCAATAAAAAAATAGCGATATTCTACAAAAGTTTTTTAATTTAAATCCCTAAATATTTATGTTGGTCGTTTTAAATTTCTATTGTAAAACATCTGTCAAACATTAAATGTTTTGTTTATCTCGCACGTTATGAGCGTTTACAACATAAAGCCCGCCTACTTTAATTGATCAACTCAAACATGGTGATGATGAGTGGTGTTAGATCACTGACAGGCAGAAGGTCTGTTATCCTGGCATTGCACAATAATATCTGTGCAGCACAAAAGTAGAGTTAGTATTAGGCAATTATTTCACAACCTTTATTAAACCATAGGCTACCTCGGGAAAATATGATCACAGCTAGGGAGCCAATCGCCTTCAAGTACTATTGAACGAGCCAATGGAATTGGCGTGCGTGATGACATCACATACTCCGCCCCCGCGGCGCGGGTATAAATACGGAAGTGGATGCAGGCACTAGTTGCCTTTCGCTTCGGAGCCGATCGTTTGATGTCTATGAAGAGTGCTGTTGCTTACAAATCTAATTATTAATCTATAGGCTAATGTTTACAATTCTTATGCACCCATGCACTTGTGTACTATATAAATGAATGCATAATATATTTAAATATAAAACAAAACATCTGTTTGTGCACATATAATCATACAGGCTATGTAATATGTATATTGACGTGCACATATAATCATACAGGCTATGTAATATGTATTTTGACATTTACACTGATTTAGTGCAATATATTTTTACATTTATAAATAACTGCATGTCAAGCATTTTGTCTGTCCTTTCCTCCATGTTCTTGTCGTCTCCACTATAGTTTGCAGAGGATGATCCAGTCGCTCAGAGAAAGGAGTATGAATGTGGTTTCCCCACTGACAGGAGAAAATAATGGCTTCTCAAGTCTGCAGGAGCAAGTTGAATATAAATAAAGATTGTGTGCTAAATTGTGCGCTAATCAAACTTGGGTGTATCAGCCCTTATTCACAAAAAACAACATTGGGAAGTCTAATGTTTATTAAAGTTTTTTTTGTTTGTTTGTTTTTTAAATAAGGAGCAAGGAAAGGCTAGCAAAATCCAGGGATCTGGTCAATTGGAGTGAACGGAGTTGACGAAACTCTCCCTCGTACGGCTCTGATGTTTTAGGCCAAAAGACGAAAATTCCACTGTCGGCCGATTACTGCACCGAAATTTTGGTGCATCCCTACAGGTAGACTAAAACGTGACTACACACTGGAGTAAAGTTCGCAACATATTCACAGATTCTAACTTCCCGGATCAATAGTGTCACGGGGTGACCAGGGCCGGAACCTTTTTCACGGGAGTAGTTGCCATGGAGGAACACTTCCGGTGTAACACCCGGCCGGTTCCGGTGTCTCCCGAACAGGGCGGAAATGCAGCGAGAGCTGATCGGGCGAAATCATCGGCACGTGCGAGGGGGAAAATCCCAAACGGTGATTAGGGCGTGAGAAGCATAAAAGACGCGGTAGCGAAGGAAGGAGAAGGAGGAAAACAGCCGGAGACGCAGTAGAAGGACGAAGGACGAAGGACGAAGGACGAAGGACGGAGGACGGAGGACGGAGGACGGAGGACGGAGGACGGAGGACGGACCCAGCAAACAAGGGACGTCCCCCGGACGTTTCAAACGTCCCCTTAGGTCCGCATTAAGTCCGCTTTGTAACGTTCCCGATCGGACGTTCGGAGGACGTCCGCACTTGGTCCCATTTGTAACGTTCGCTGACGGACATTCCGATGACGTTCGCATTTGGTCCGCTTTGTAACGTTCGCTGAAGGACATTCCGATAACGTTCGCATTTGGTCCATTTTGTAACGTTCGCTGACGGACATTCCGATGACGTTCGCATTTGGTCCATTTTATAACGTTCGCTGACGGACGTTCTGAGGACATTTGTCCGGGCCAGTTTGCGAACGTCCCTATTTCGTCCCTCACCTGGCATTTCCATGACAACACTTGCAAAATCCAGTCGCCCATGCGTTTGCCATCATCAACTGACACTTTGCAACTCAGACAAACCGAATAATTAAACTAAAATATAAATGCAAATATTTGCATTAATTGTAAAATTAAGTTCATGCTAAAAATGTTAGTGTTTTAATGTTAAGATAATAACTTTCATGTAAATTATATCACTAATTAAAGATGTAATAAAACGAGTCTGTTTTCACCCGTTATAATTTAAACATCAAAAACATGAAAATTGATTCAATTGAATATGAGCTATTTATAAAGGCTATTCCACATGCACGAAGAGGTTGAATCCCAGGAGCTCTAAAAGAATGCATCGACTTCAAATGATGAATGCAGCCAAGGAAAACGTGAAGAATGAAAAATTGCTGGAAAGAAAGTGGAAAGTAACACGGTAAGACAAATAAAAGTATCCTTAAAGTCAAAATTAAGTATGTGTTCTGAGTTTGTCACACCACAGAAAAATGTGTTATTAGCCACCCAGCCAAATTTGAATGATAAAAAAAGCCGGCAAGTACATAAAATAAGCTATCAAAATCTTGAAAAAATGAGCAGTTTTCTCTGCTCTCAAACGCTGGGGGCGTGTCCGCTGGCTGCGCTGAAACCACGCCCACTCGCGGGAAAGCTGCACTCGACGGGACCCGCTACAGCCGAAATGGATGCTCCTAGCAGCTTATTAGGTTATACCAAGCCATATTTGTTTGAGCCTCCAGAGCCTGAATCCGATTCAGAAGACATTGACCAAGGAAGTCAACATCGTCCCCCTCGCTCTGCAACAGAATGGTAAATTTTTTCTCTCCCTTTTATGCAAGTTAGCTAAGTTATATGTAAGTAAACGTTAACTAGCTTAACCTAACTTAGACAAATAAAGTTAGACTAGCAATAAATAACAGAAAAAAACAACATATTTTTACACCTTATAGTTATAGATCAAACTAAGTTAGACTAGCAATAAACGGTTGTCGGCGGGACGGGAGGATGAAGGCCGAGGCGAGAGATAGTCGGTGCGGCACCTTTCACCAGTAACAACGGATTATCTGTGAATCCCAGTTGTCTCCGACGAAAGTTTATAAAACTATCACGAGTAAAATGATCACTACAGAGGCGGGTTTGGCTGGTGATCCTCAGCTCTCCATCAAGGTGGCTCTTCACAAAATTAATCCACCTCTTCTTGATGTCGTCGTTTTTAGGAAATTTAAACAAGGACACCGATCTGTTTTGCAAATGATTGCATCCAAGTAGTACGCATTTCCGTGACGAAGGCATGGCTAGATAGCAAACTGTAGGCTGTAGTAACTGATAATAGTACTGACAGTAACTCGCAAATGAGCGCCAAACTGATGCGAATGTGCTCTATTTATATTGTTAGAGGGATCAGTATCAGTGCGTCATCGAGTAGGGGCGTGTCCAAGAGCTCCAGTGCGTCATCGAGCCCTGTTTTAGACCCGCCCAAAAAATCCGTGAAATTGCCAGGGTGAAAAACTGTTTAACGGTCTAACTCCACAATTCAGTACTTCACAGTTCACAGTCTTTGTAATATGTTTTAGCAATACATTTCTAACCTTTAGAATGTGTTTAGAATGTTTTGTTAAAATTGCCTTTACAGGGACTTTAACATTTACCTGTCAAACTGTTGGTCAGGCGAAGGTGACTGGTTTTATTAAAAATAATATATTTTAGGAAAAATATTATTCTAATTATTGATAGCACATGCAGATCAAATAACACAAAAAAATTGGAGAAACAAGCAAGTGACGATCAAATCATAGGATCAAATGCACCTAAGCGAGTGACGTCATTCCTTATGTACGCGGTTTGTATCACAGTCTATGGTTTGTATCCATGGCAACGCTCAGCTGCTTAGCGTAGTGACAGTTAACGGTCCTCCTCAGACGCAGCCTTATTGTGTTTTCTCTGTCCGTCGTCTGTCTAAAGGTATTTTTAATTTTTAGGTTATTATAAATTAGTTACCATAACCACTGT